GTTTGTTTTCAGCACGTTCGTTTGTCCCACTGAGATTATTGCCTTCTCGGATCGTGTGGCAGAATTCAAGAAGCTCGACGTGGCAGTTTTGGCGTGCTCTACCGACTCGCACTTCAGCCATCTGGCATGGATAAACACGCCTCGGAAGGAGGGCGGCCTGGGCCAGATGAATATCCCTATCCTTGCTGATACAAACCATGCAATTAGCAAGGCATACGGTGTGCTCAAAGAAGACGACGGGATCGCCTATCGGTGAGCAAAGTATACTTCTTTTCGAAGCGTTTTTCTGCAATTTGCTGCAAAATCGCCTCGAGTCCCTTTATTGCAGTGGGTTGTTCATCATTGATCCGAAAGGCATTCTGCGACAGATCACAATAAACGATCTTCCTGTGGGACGATCTGTGGATGAGACACTGCGCCTCCTTCAAGCGTTCCAGTACGTCGACAAACATGGCGAAGTATGTTTTTACCGTACTCGCATCAGTCTTATTTCTGAGCCAGTGAGCAGATATCTTGAACTCTGTTCACTCCAGATCATTTTTATCACCACAGGATTAAGAGTTTCTCAGGGTGTTCGCGGTAAGAAAAAAACATTGCGCCGTCGAAGCAGCACTGGCATCACAGACGCCACAGGGTATAAATCGAAACTAAGACATCATTTTTCCCTCCATCAATGTTGACTTTTGTCTGATTTGCTAGAACTTCTGGCTATTCTGCTTTTTCGCAAAATTACCCAGCTTGTAACATCTTTTTTGGGGTGTGTGGAGGACAGGGGGGAGGGGAGGGCGATATTGCTGGGATTATGCACCCCCTCCTCCCTCCCCCCCTCCCCCTGCGCTTCTCCGCTCCTCTCAAATGTGAACCTTCCTGTGTCCTCATCTTCCCGCACGTATACGTGCAGTAGTTTACAACCTCGAAACAGTGATGTTGGGATCTGAAAGGGTTTGCTTTTTGCGCACTGAATGTGTCAAAGAATTTTTTTTTTTGATAGATGCACTAACTGTAATTGCGCAACAGGTTTTGGTTAAGAAGCATTTGCCTTCTTCTGCTC